TGTGTGTGTGTGTGTGTGTGTGTGTGTGTGTGTGTGTGTGTGTGTGTGTATGTATGTATAAAATCCTCATAGCTTAGTTCCCACCTATAAGTGAGAACTTATGATACTTTGCTTTCCATTCCTGAGTTACTTCACTTACAATAATAGCCTCCAGCTCCATTCAGGTTGCTGTCAGGGCCATTATTTCATTCTGTGTTATGGCTCAGCAGTATTCCATGGTGTACATATTCCACATTTTCTTTATCTACCAATTAATTGATGGACATTGAGGCTGGTTCCATATTTTTGCAATTGCAAATTGTGCTGCTATCAACATGCATGTGCATGTGTCTTTTTCATGACTTCTTTTCCTTTGGGAAGATACCCACCAGTGTGAGATTGTTGGGTTGAATGGCAGTACTGTTTTCCATAGTGGTTATACTAGTTTACATTCCCATCAGCAGTGTAAGTGTTCTCTTTTCACCAAATCCATACCAACATGTATGATTTTTTGATTTTTTAAATATGGCCATTCTTGCAGGAATAAGGTGGTATCACACTGTGGTTTTAATTTGCATTTCCCTGATAATTAGTGATGTTTCTGAAGGAAAATATATTCTAACACAACAAACAGATGTTGAGAAGTTTGAAGGAAAATCTGATAGACACTAATTATTAAATGGTTCAATTTACAGTCAAAAAGAGATGATTATAAATAATTGACAGCAGAGGGACAAGATAAATGTCCATTCAATGCTTTGTTATAATGTTTTTCAATTTCCAAAGATCACAAACATAGCTCCTGTTCAGACCATAGCTCCTGGTGCTTCTGTGTTCACAAACACCATTGTGTAGAACTGGAGCTGGCCTCTGTCACCATTGCTTCTGGAGCTCACATCTGTGGAAAACTGCACATTTCCCTGCGTATTCTCTGACCTTGTAACTAGAACTGGAGCCCCACCAGATTAGCTGCAGGTTTTGAGAACAATTTGGCTGCCATTATAGTAGAGCTAAGTGTTCATAATGACAAATTTTGCTCCCTTCAAGAAACCAGTTTACAGACTGATGACAGTAGAGATTAAGGGCACTTTAGCTTCTGCAACTTTCAAAGTACTTTTATTTGTTTCAAATTCATTTTCTGTTACATACTTTGCTAAAATGGCTACTAGCAATATCACCATGACAACTCAGTTTCCACTACTAGCAAAGTGGTAATTTAGCAGCCATTTCAAAAGCAACCAATCATCACTAGTCAGTTTCTTTTTAGTCACAAGAATCCTCAATTCAGCTGTAAGTATACAGTGTGGTAATTCTGAATGAAAATCTCTTTAAAAAAAGGTTTTTTGGGGTATATTATAGGTGTATATTTTATGTGGCATATAAAATATTTTGATACAGGCCTACAATGTGTAATAATCTCATCAGGGCAAATGAAGTATCCATCATATCCCAAGCATCTATCTTTTGTTTTACAAACAATTCAATGATACTCTTTTAGTTACTGTAAAATGTACAATTAAATAATTCTTAGCTGTTGTCACCCTGTTGTGCTATCAAATACTAGATCTTATTTATTCTAACTCTATGTGTGCACCTATTAACCATTACCCCTTACTCTTCATCCCCCATACTACTTTTATCAGCCTTTGCTAACAGTTCTCCTACTCTGTATCTTCACAACTTAAATTGTTTCAATTTTTAGCTACCGCAAATAAATGAGAATATGTGACGTTTTTCTTTCTGTGTCTGGCTTTTTTCACTCAACATTTCCATCCACATTGTTGCAAATAACAGGATCTCATTCTCCTTCATGGTTGAATAGTGCTCCACTGTGTATATGTACCATTTTCTTTAGCCACTCATCTGTTGATGAACACCTGGAATGCTTCCAAATCTTGGCTGTTGTGAATAGTGCTGCAACACACATGAGTGCAGGTATCTCTAATATACTGATTTCCTTTCTTTTGTGTATATACCCAGCAGGGGGATTGCTGGATCATATGGTAGTTCTGGTTTTAGTTCTGAGGACCTCCAAACTGTTCTCGATAGTGGTTATACTTAAATTACATTCCCACTAACAGTGTACAAGGTTTGTCTTTACTCTACATCCTTGCCAGCATTTGTTATTCAATGTCTTTTAAATAGAAGCTATCTTAAGTGGGGTGAGATGATCTCTAATTGAAATTTTGATTTGCATTTCTCTGAATATCAATGATAATGACGTTGAGTATCTTTTTATATACCTATCTGCTATTTGTATTCCCTTCTTAGTTTTGAAACAGGGTCTCACTTTGTTACTCAGGTTGGAGTGCAGTGGCACAATCACAGCTCACTCCAGCTTCGACCTCCCAGGCTCAGGTAATTTTCACACCTAAGCCTCCGAAATAACTGAAACTGCAGTCACATGTCACAATGCCTGGCTAATGTGTCCTCTTTTGAGAAATATCCATTCAGATATTTTGCCCATTTTAAAATTCAGATTATGAGATTTTTTTTCTATGGAGTTATTTGAGATCCTTAAATATTCTGGTAATTAGTCCCTTGTCAGATAGTTTTAAAATACCTTCCCCCATTCTATGGGTTGTCTCTACACTTTGTTGATTGTTTTCTTTGCTGTGCAGAAGCTTTTTAACTTGATGTGACCTAAGTTGCCCATTTTTGCTTTGGCTGCCTGTGCTTATAAAATATTCAAGAAATATTTGCTGAGTCCAATATCTCAGAGAGTTTTCCCACTGTTTTGTTTTAGTTTCGTATTTCAAGTCTTAGATTTAAATTAAAAAAAAATTAATTATAAAAATAGAGACAGAATCTCACTGCATTGCCCAGGCTGTTATCAAACTAATGGGCTTAAGAGATTCTCCTATCTCGGCCTCCCAAAGTGCTGGGATTACAGTCATGAGCCACTGTGCCCAGCCGAAATTTAAATCTTCAATCCATTTTGATTTGATTTTTGTGAGAAATAGAGGCTTAGTTTCATTGATTTGCATATGGATATCCAGTTTTCTCAGCACCACTTATTAATGAGACTGTCATTTCCCCATTGTATGTGCTTGGCACCTTTGCTGAAAATGAGTTCTCTGCAGATGTATGGATTGGTTTCTATGTTTTCTACTCTGTTACATTGGTTTATGTGTCTGTTCTTATGCCAGTGCCATGATGTTCTGGTTACTGTAGCTGTAGAGTATAATTTGAAATCGGATAATGTGATTCCTCAAGGTTTGTTTGTTTTTGCTCAGGATAGCTTTGGATATTCTGAGTCTTTTCTAGTTGCCTATAAATTTTAGGATTCATTTTTAATTTCTATTTCTGTGAAGAATGTCATTGTTTTTGCAGACTTGTGGAGGTACCACATCGGTGGTCTCAGATAAGACCTGGAGGAATTATCTGTATTTGCAGACAAGCTCCCTTCTCCCCTTACTTTCCCACAAATGAAGTCTGTCTCTGTGCTAGGCTGCCTGGAGCTGGGAGAGGAGCAATACAAGTACCCCTGTGGCCACAACCTCTGGGACAGCACTAGATCTGTCCAGGCAGCAGTAGGTCTGAAGTCAGCACAGCATTGTGACTGCCCAAGGCCCACTGTAACATCTACCTGCTGCCAACTATGTCACTCAAGGCCCCGGGGCTCTACAATTAGCAGGTAGTGAAGCCAGCCAGGCTTCTGACTTTCCCTTAAGTGCAGTAAGTTCCCCTGGTCCCAATGTGATAACCTGCTTTTTGTTGGCTTAAACTCACTGTCTCTGAGAGCTGTTCAGGTTTCATGTTAGCTTCTTGAGCTGGACAGACTCCACCTTAGTGTCTTCGCTTTAGTTATTCCCCTCATTAAGTATGTAAATACAGTATGTAGCTGGGGCAGGATGACACTGGGCACATCCTGGAGTTCATTTGCTGATAAGAGGCTGAGTTAAGCGGCACCAGCAGAGCCTGGGAATGCAGGTGCCGTCGAGTACCCAGAGCCCCCATATCTATAGGTTGTATGTCTTTTTATGTCAGCTCTAGCCCCTGCACCTGGTTCTGTTTTATTTCTCATGTACCGGTTTATCTTTTAACTTTTCTGCTTACTCTATTTCTGTGAAAAAATTGCTTCAGCTAGGCTCGCCCCTCCCTTTTCAAACTAGGGTATAAGAAACCCCTTAACTCTTTCTTCTGGGCCAAGAGAATTTTGGGTGTTAGCCACCTCTCGGTCACCAGCTAAAATAAATGACTCATAATTCAATCTCAGAGTGTGGCTCATTTTTTGAATCACTTGGGTATAACACCTGGATGGGTTCAAAGGTGCTGCCTGGGAGCCTGGGCTGGAGTCATAAACCTTAGGCATCTACCTGCTGCTTTGATCTACCATGGCTGAGCTGGCACTGAATCCACCAGGCAAATCCCTTCCTGCTCTTCCCTCCTTTTTCCCTAGGCAGAGTAGTCGGTCCCCAAGCACATCATTGCAGTCCCATGGGGAGTAGTGCCAGGTCACCACGGATGTTCACTTAATAATACCCCAAGGGTTCTCAGTCAGCTTGTGAGTGCTGCCTGCCCTGGAACTCATTCTTCAGGGCTGTGGGCTCCCCTCTGGCCCAGGGTAGATCCAGAGATGCCATCCAAGAGCCAAGGCCTGAATCGTGGACTCCTACAGCTCACCTGGTGCTCTTCTCACTGTAGCTGAGCTGGTATCTAAGCTCAAGAAAAATCCTCTTTACTCTTCCCTCAGCATTTATCGAGCAGAGGGAGTCTCTCCTTGTAGCCACCACAGCTGGGAATGTGCTGAGTCACACCTGAAGCCAGCACATCTCTGTCTCACTCCAGGCCCATGGTATGTACTACCTTGGTCACCACTGATAATTCTTCAGGGCCCAAGGCCTCTTTCATCAGAAAGTGATGAATCCTGCCATTACTGAGTCCTAGCAGGCTCCCTTCTGGCCCAGAGTTTGTCTAGACATGCTATCCCAAACCTGGGACCTGAAATGGGGGTTTCATGACTCTGACCAGTGCCCTCTCCCACTGTGGCTGAGCTAGTATCCGAGTTGCAAGACAAAGTCCTCTTCCTCCCCTCAAGCCGAAGAAAGAGGTCTTTGTCAGAGCTGTGAGCTGCACTGTCAAGGGTTGATGGAGGGGTGGGCAAACACTCCCTAGCTGCCCCAGCTGCTCTCTCCCTGGGTCACATGCCCCCAGATACACTGGTTCCAAGTGCAGCATGGCACTCGGACTTGCCTAAGAGTTGCAGTCCTTGTGACCTAGACAGCCTTACAGTTTATTAAGGACCCCAGAGTATTTTATCCCACAGCAGCCAGGCTTTCATGACTCAAGTTCCAACCACAGGGCTGAACAATTCCCCTCTGGCTGGGGCTAGTCTCAATGTTTCCTCCATGGGTGGCCATTGGGTGAGTTCAGCCTTGTTTTGCTTTCTGCTATGACAAGGCAGCACTGAGTTCAGGAAAAGTCCCACAGCTGCTGTGCTCTCCCTGCCCCAAGCATATAGCCTCTCTCCTTGCCACAGGTTCACAGGGTGACATCAGCAATTCAAAACTGTCTTTTCTATGCTGTTCAGTGCCTCTTTCAGTGATATGAAGTTAAACCCAAGTACTATGATCACTTACCTGATTTCTGGTTCTTATGGAGGTGCTTTTTTATTTAGATAGTTACTAAATTTGTTATTTCTGTGGGGAGCACAATTGGCAAAGACTTCTATTCAGCCATAAGGCTCCATCTCTGTGACTACATACATTCTGAATGACAATCTTATCTGGAGTAATAGGCAAATATGAAAAAAAAGAAAACCAAAAAGCCAAAACCTCTTGCCGGTGCCTGTCATAATCTTGATCTTCATATGCTGCTAAATGTCATCAAGAGGTGATTTTTTCAGATTTTTCTAAGTGTCACCCACAAAGCCATTCTTTCTGTCTGGTGGACACTGTGAGAGCCTCTGCTGGAAATGCCTCCCTGGCTCACCCTGCCAACCAGCTCCAAGGCCCTTCCTTTTACAGCACTCAGGAGGCCAGAGTGGAAGAAAGACTCATGAAGCTCTTGTTTCATTGTCATGTTGGTGCCAACCGCATGACTCAGCAAGATTTCTTGCACTCTCATGGGCAACTCGGCCACCCCCCCGCAAAGGCTGCTGTGGTTGCACGAGTGCCCTGGGAACCCCTGAGTGTGACGAGCATTGGGTGATGCTCCAGCAATGTTTCTCAGACTGCCTGAGGGGAACACTGGAATTTCTAACTCATCAGCCCAATGATGCAACACTCTGAAGGGGGAGGGGACAGGGGCACAGGGATCTGTGACTATTCTGTATCTCAAGGTTTCTATAAAACAGATCTTCAGATAAAAGCAGGGAGAACACCAGCAAAAGCAAGTACACAATGTATGACTCAGGGTGAAGCTATACATTTTCCCCAGTCCACAGGCTCCAGACCTGTCAATGGCCAACAGTTATTTCCAAGACCAGACATGTGCTCCTTACAAAGAGACTGGAATTTGCAGACAGCTTGTAAAAAGCCATAAGGATATTTACTGTACTATTATTTTCTGGTAGTACACTGGTACAATGTTTGCCAAAAATATCCACAGAAAAATATTTTTCAATTTATGAGCAGATTATTACAATAGCAATTTACCAAGACCTACCATTGAACAATGAAAATATAAACAGTTGTTCTAAAATGTGATGTTTATGCCCATTTCCATTATTTGTACAATGTAAACTTTAAAAATATTTCTTAAAGTGTTAAGTTTATGGGACCAAAAAGTATTGAAAAATAATTAGAAAGTTCACAAAGACAGCTGGGCATAGTTGCTCATGCCTATAATCCCAGCACTTTGGGAGGCCAAGGCACGTGGATCACCTGAGGCCAGGAGTTTGAGACCAGCCTGGCCAACATGGTGAGACCCCGTCTCTACTAAAAATACAAAAAATTAGCTGGATGTGGTGGTGGATGCCTGTAATCCCAGCTACTCGGGAGGTTGAACCGCTTGAATCTGGGAGGCAGGAGAATCACTTGAATCTGGGAGGTGGAGGTTGCAGTGAGCCAAGATCATGCCATTGCACTACAGCCTGGACAACAAGAGTGAAAAAACAACAGTAAAAAACCAACAAAAAAAAAAAAAAAAAAAGAAAGAAAGAAAGGAAAGAAAGTTCACAAAAACCACACAAACTCACATTTCTTTAACTGTAACATTGTCAAAGAACTTGCAGTAGTCCTCATTCCACAAAGGTGTATCACTCCAAGCCTTGGAGGCAGTAAGAATGGCTCCCAAGACAATCCTCCTCCAGTTGGTTGGACAAATGTCGATAGAAACATAACTTACAAGTCTTTCTATGTAAATCTGCAAAACATAGCAAACACTGGCCTTTGATTTAGCTCCGTTTAAGTGCTGTGATAAGAACTCTTCTGAATGACAGATTCCTTGTGGTCTTGACCAGAAAGTAAGTGCCTTTTATTCTTATGTTCTACAGAGGCGTGGCTTGATCAGGCCAGGCAAGTGGCCATATCACAATCTAGGTCAGATACTTCTGCTACCTACTCTGCCCATAGAAATTTACAGCCCAATTTTGGTCACAAGAATGACTGTATGTCTCAGCCAAGGGCATCATAAAAAGAGGCAATGTTGTCACCTTCACACTTATAAGAGGCAGCGCACACACACACATGTCCAGTGTGGATTAAGGTTGTTCAATAAATCCTCAAGTGCCTACCACATATAATATCTCACATCTAGCTGGTAGGCAGATGGAAATTTTACAAGTATGTCAAACTTTAATATGTAAAACCTATGTGATAGCAAATATTAACCTCCTTATCACAAATCTCACCCTTCTGGGGCACTAGCTTAAAAAACTGCTGGTCAAGAGAGCCTCCCAGTGGCTGCTGTGCAGAGCAGCATGGCAGACACAAGTCTGTGGGGTTGTAAAACATTCCACATATGCAGTTGCTCACTTGATAAGAAACACACATGTATAAAGGAGAGTCCTTCTCACAGCCCCTATTTTTCACATCTTCATGATCACTTCATACAAATTTATTATGTCATACATCATCTGCAACTTAAACAATTCTGTTGGTTTTAAAGTGGAAAAAGCTGCCAATCTCTGTATCCCTGGGATTCCTCTAAACCTGCTGCCCAGCAGTTTGTGAGACAATTTCATGAATCACTTTACATCTATCAAACATCGGTCCCACAAAGAATTGGGGAAAGTGGGCCAGGCGCGGTGGCTCAAGCCTGTAATCCCAGCACTTTGGGAGGCCGAGGCGGGTGGATCACGAGGTCAAGAGATCGAGACCATCCTGGTCAACATGGTGAAACTCCGTCTCTACTAAAAATACAAAAAATTAGCTGGGCATGGTGGTGCGTGCCTGTAATCCCAGCTACTGAGGAGGCTGAGGCAGGAGAATTGCCTGAACCCAGGAGGCGGCGGTTGCGGTGAGCCGAGATCGCGCCATTGCACTCCAGCCTG